GAAAGAAAATCTCCAAAAACCAAAGGGGTTACTTTTAAAAGTATGCTCATTGTGCCCCAATCCCCCATCCTTAGGTAAAATGAAAAACCTTTGTATCTTTGGAGGGTTTGCTCACAGGATACTTCAAAATGAATATCAAGAAAAGGGGAGAGCAGAAAGGAAACAGACATAAGAACCATTATATAGGTTCCCCTCTTAAGTTTCACAGAGGGTCACTGACTATTTATCCAGTTGCATTCGATGAGTTTTGCATTTTTCCCTTTTCCATGCAGCTAAGCACTCAGCACACAAACTAGGGGAAAGTTGTGCTACTAGTGGAATAAAAGCAAACAAAAACCATCTAGTAGCAGGAGTTCAATTCAGTAGAAATCCACAAATAATTTAAGAGGATGTCTGTAACAGAAGGTTCATTTAGAGTCCATAAGAGAAGGTATCAGAAGCATCTTTAGATTTCAAGTCTCAGTAATTGTTTCCCAACCCACTACAAAAGATAAAACATCAAATCTAAAGTTTAAATCTCGAAAGATGCAATGGAAACCCTCACAATCCAATATCTGTGAGATTTTATACATACAGATAAGGGTCTATAAAAAAGCATGAGACATGAGTCTATAAAACGAATAACATCAAATATTATCTCCACTGCTATTTGGTCTGAACTGGGCACAAGTTTAAACTTACTTCAGTTTTTAAAAAAGTAGTTGTAGAAAATAAAAAAAATCCCCAAATAGTGCTCAGAAAAGTTACTTTCTGGACAACAGCTTCTAGAATCCTGCATCCAAGCATGATCAGTGGTCATGATGGCAGGGGGGGAAGGGGTTTGGGGGAGTTGCACTAAAAAACAAACCTTTTAATTACTCTGCCAAAACCATCACTGAAATATTTTAGCATTGCCATATATTCAGGAAGCTAATATGTGTGTTTTATTTTTCCTCAACAACTGCATCTTTTGAAAAGCTTTGCATCCTCCTGCAACCTAGCATCACAATACAGAAAATTATAATTAGATGGCTATTTGTTTAGTTCACATCCTTCGAAATGCTATATTTCATCTCAGCTTAAAGAAATGAGACTGACAACATCATGGTGATTATTTGCTGAACGACCACTCCTAAACTACTTCAATAGAAATCAAATCTAGATAAATAGCAGGTTTGTTTTTCTCTATGAACATTAACATCAAGGGGACATATGAAGATGTAGGGGCATGATACTAAACATTTATCTCATCCTCTATTTAAAAAATCATCAGTCAATTTGCTCTCCAAATAGCCATCTATTCAGGCAGGTACTATTTTTTTTTCTAAACTGAGCAAGCAATACAGCAAAAGGATATAAGGTATTATCAAAGTATAGGAGACAGAAATGCCATCTAATAGGAAGGGATGGAAACGAAATTTTAAAATATACTGATGGTTTACAAAAGACATTCCATATTTCATTTATCATACTCTATTATTACGACCTACCAACTTTTATATATAGTATTCCATTTCCATTGCAGAATATGTGTCCTCCTAACATTTCTCAATATTCTTTGAGGGCCATTAAATGATGAATGAACTTGCAAAAAAAATTAGCCTCTCAATGATGTCTGCAAGCATGAGATGTGCAACTTTTGAAAAAAAATGGAATCCCTAAATTAACATGGTATTTTTATCGTTTTTGCTTTTAAGGGTAATGGGAAAAAAATCAGACTGCCTACACTTTCTGCATCCCACTTTGTTCTCTGGAGAGAATGTGTGCATCTACTTTATATGACTAGTGAATTCATCTTACAGGGAGGGGATCAGAAATAAAGCTTTCATTCAAAAATATGAAGTTGGATTTGGTTTTCAACTTCAGGGTGTGTCTGTGCAAGGACACATGGTGCGTTGCCACATAGATGAGAACACATGCTCACAGGTCTAAGCTAGAGACCCAACTGAACACAAGCTCTTTCACAGAAAAAAAACCCTAAAAACTTGCTTTCCAAAAGGGTAAAGGGATACAAAGGTGGTCATCTGAGAGCAGCACAAAGCCAAAGTTCAATGCAAAGCCAAAATAAGCTCCATAACAGTTAAAAGCTTCAAAATCTTAATACACAAGACACAATTAAAAGAAAATATCCAGTGTGTAACATTTGGATGGTGTTCCATTGCCCTCCAAAAGAAAAAAAACTTTTTAGTGAAGAAAATACAAAGATGTTTCAATACTTTTCTCCTACGGCCTCGCCTCCTCCTCCCTTTTTTTTTTTTTTTGCATTGCATTTCTCTGGGAATCATCCCCACACAATCCACCCACGCACATGAATCCGCCCTCGCCTTCCGGCAATCTGCAGAGGCAGGAACGAATTGCACAGCAGCAGCAGCAGCAGCAGCAGCAGCTCTGAAAACACCCTATGGGGGCAAGGAAGGGGCACTACTTCCTCCCTCTCAAACCTTGGACATGTAAAAAAAGGTTTCATGGATTTGTAGAGAAACATGCACTGCAGCCTCAGGCAGCTCTGCTTCTTTAAAGTCCCCAAAATCATCAGTTTCATAATGACTGAATGCTACTAAGGTGGCTGAGAGGAAACTTCCAACAGAGTGTACATCTGAACTTGAACGCACGTTTGTTGCCTGCTGAAGAATACTCTTTCTCCACAGCTAAAGTAACACACTATACCTGTTCACGCATACATTTTTAAAACACAAAGTGACTCCTCATCGGCTTAGAATGATCTGTTCAAAGAAGTAATGTATAAGTTAAAGGAGATGACACTGTGGGAGTGTATCTGTAGCTATAAGTAAATAATATATAAGCACACCTGCATATATATATGCAGGTGTGAATACCCAGAAAACTTATTCCATTTAAAACATCTGTGATTGTAAATATATAATAAAGAGTATAAGCACACATATTTAGATGCACAGGTGCCTGTGTCTATACGAAGAATGAATGAGATGGCTTGTTCTATTTAAAATATCTGTGGCCATGAATATGTAATATATACATATGTAACTACATATGCACATATGTGAGTGCATACCCACAGAAAGACAAGAAAAAATTGATTAATTAATTAATGGTTTTAAATATGTAAGTTATATTTGTAAATAGGGTTTTATTGCTGACAGTTTTAAATAATCAGGTTGCTATAAGGAATTTATTGGATTTTAATGGGTTTATTTACTTTGTATGTTCTTATTGTATTGTTAGCCATTTTGAGTCTCGTCTTGGTGTGGGGTAAAAATCGGCTCAAATACATCAAATAAATATATATATATTCTATGTGAAATATCTATGGCTGAAAATATGGAATATACACTACAAGTATGCACATATACATTTGTAGAGGTGGATATGTACAGAAAGAGAAAGGAAAAGATGGTTTAGTCAGTTCAACAATATCCGTTGCTGTAAAGATATACAGTACATTATAAGCATGCACACATATATTTATGTAGGTGTGCCTGTACCCAAACACAAAATGAAAGCTTATTCTGTTAATATATAATATACAGACACATACATGAATACATAGGTCTGCACTGTTGCTGTAAATATATTGTAAACATACATAATGGAGCAGTGCACGTGCGCTTCATCTTCCACTTCAAACCCAAATTTATTCATTCCACACAATCTTTAATTTAGGGCTGAATTCAATGGAGCATGACCTCTTTTGATTAGTTTATGGGAGATAATAAAAAAGGGGGCTTCTTTCTTGAAGGAAATTGAGGGTGTATCTATACCAGGTATGGGCAAACTTTGGCCCTCCAGGTATTTTGGACTTCAACTCCCACCAGCTGTTAGGAATTGTGGGTGTTGAAGTCCAAAACACCTGGGGGACCAAAGTTTGCTCATGCCTGATCTACACTGTAGAATGAATGCAGTTTGATACCACTTGAACTACCATGGCTTAATGCCAGGGAATTATGGAAGTTGATGCCTACGCTTTTTGGCAGAGAGAAAGCTAAAAAGTCTTATAATAACAACAACAACAACAACAACAACAAGAAAGCTTTATTTATATCCCGCCCCCGCTCCCCAACGGGACTCCGGGGGGGGGGGCTTACAACAAAGAAGATACAGTATAAATAATAATCAATACGGTTTTTTAAACTAGGAGATGTAAATGATCTAGGTTTTATTAATTTTATGATTTTATATTATATGTTAATGTTTTTAAATGTGTTTATGTTTTAAATGATGTTTTAATGTTTTAAATGATTTTGTATTATATGTTAATGTTATATGTTAATGTTTTTAAGTGTTTTATGGTGTTGTTGACATTGAATTGCTGCCTCTGTAAACCATCCAGAGTTACCTGCGGGCTGAGAAGGACAGTATACAAATATAGTAAAAAAATAAATACAGAACCGGTGGCGCAATGGGTTAAACCCTTGTGCCAGCAGGACTGCCGACTGAAAGGTCGGTGAATATGGGGAGCGGGGTGAGCTCCTGTGTGTCAGCTTCCCATGTGGGGATATGAGAGAAGCCTCCCACAGGATGGTCAAACATCCGGCCGTCCCCTGGGCAATGTCCTTGCAGACGGCCAATTCTCTCACATCAGAAGCAACTTGCAGTTTCTCAAGTTGCTCCTGACACAGAAAAAAAAGATCAAAACAGCCAATCAAAAAGGCAGATCACAATACATGAAGACATCACTAATCAATATAAAACTATATAATAAGTAAGGCACGCATTATAAAACTGCAACTCCGAGGATGCGTTGAGGGAGGGCACTTTGAAAGTGGTGTCAAACTGCGCTCCTGCTACACTGCATTGAGAATGATGCACACCTCCATTCAAAGCTCCTGTCAAGGAGACTTTCCCTGTGACACTGCTGTTCAACGTCCACTTTTTGTCAGACAGCAAGTAAGGAGAGCCAATCAGAGCCACCAACTCCGAGGGTCCCTCGCGCTGACCCCGCCCCCTCCCTCCTCTTCAAACGCCACCGCACGCGCCCCCTTTTTACCCTCAGTGCCTCAGGCGAGAAAGTGGGTGCGCGTGCGCGAGGTCCCGACACTTACTTGCAGGGTTAGGGCTGGTGGCTTTCCCCTGGCCGTCGGGGCCGGCAGCTTTCTTCTCCCTTCCCGGCTCCCACTCGCCCCCAGAGCTCGGACTGGCGGGCTCTGCTGCAGGGCTGCAGGAAGAGAATGACGGCGGTGGCGGCGGTAACAGCCTCCTCCTCCTCCTCCTCCTCCTCCTCCTCCTCCGCCACCGCCTCTTTGCCTTCCCCTCAGCCCGCACATCCACGCCTCCTTCTCTCTCCCTCTCTCTCCCCCCTCCCCTCCTGTGCACAGTCACATGACGCCGCTCTCGCGCCCGAGCTCGCTCAAGCGCGCGCCCCCTCCCTCCCTCCCTCSCTCSCTCCCTCGCAGCCGCGTGACGCAATGCCTTTGCGTAGGCAGCCTTGAGGGCGGCGGTTGGGTTCGGCTCCGCGAGGACGGCTTCGGCGCCTGAGAGAGAGAGAGAGCGAGAGCGCGCGAGCATGAGCGCGCGCAAGCGAGAAGGGCGGGGCCGAAGCAGGGGGTGTTTCCCTAGCCTGGAAGAAAAAGGGAGGGCGACTAGAAACAGACAAACAAGCAAACCAAAGAAGGGGGCAGTTGATAGGGAGAAAAAGGGAAAGGCAGGCCAATTACTGGATTGAGAAAAAGTTTTTCTTAAAGATAAAAGTGGGGGTTATTTCATAGAATCATAGAATCAAAGAGTTGGAAGAGACCTCATGGGCCATCCAGTCCAACCCCCTGCCAAGAAGCAGGAATATTGCATTCAAATCACCCCTGACAGATGGCCATCCAGCCCCTGTTTAAAAGCTTCCAAAGAAGGAGCCTCCACCACACTCCGGGGCAGAGAGTTCCACTGCTGAATGGCTCTCACAGTCAGGAAGTTCTTCCTCATGTTAAGATGGAATCTCCTCTCTTGTAGTTTGAAGCCATTGTTCCGCGTGAGGAACAATTTCTCTGAGGAAACATCTACATTGTATTTTTATATAAAAGTGGGGGTTATTTCTTTGAGGAAACATCTACATTGCATTTGTATTTTTATATAAAAGTGGGGATTATTTCTTTGAGGAATATTTCTATGATCCACCTAGGGCCCTAAGATCATCTGGGGAGACCCTGCTCGTTGTTCCCCCATTGTCGCAATTGCACCTGATGGGGACAAGGGACAGGGCCTTTTCTGTGGTGGCCCCTTGGCTATGGAATTCCCTCCCAAGTGAAATTAGATCTGCTGCATCCCTCTTGACCTTCCGGAATCAAGTGAAATCGTGGCTATGGGATCAGGCCTTTGTAGATTAGGTTAACTTGCTGACATGACAAGGTTTATAGAACTGATTGACTGCCCCTTGGATGATGAGTCAAACCGGCAACTGCTGACTGCTTGATTGTTTTTATATTGTTTTATACTGATTTATTATTATTAACTTTATTTGTACCCCGCTAGCATCTCCCGAAGGACTCGATGCGGCTTACACAGGCCAAGGCCTCAATAAAACAACAGCATAACAAAACATATAACTTAAAGCAAATCAAACAATAAAACAATAGCAGTAAACAATAAAAACAATACACCACAACACAATAAAACTAGGGCTGGGCCAAATGTGATGGGTACATATTAAAAAGTGCTGGGTGTGATAGGTGGTATGTCGGAATTTAGGGTAAGTGCAGTGTGCAGGCAATCTTAAAACTGATAAAGTGCTTCTGGGGCATATTCCTGGAGTTCCTATTCTGGAAAGGCACATTGGAACAGCCAGGTCTTCAAGCTCTTCCTAAATACTGCCAACGTAGGGGCTTGTCTGATGTCTTTGGGGAGGGTGTTCCAAAGTCGGGGGGCTACCACAGAAAAGGCCCTGTCCCGCGTCCCAACCAAACGCGCCTGCGACGCAGGTGGAATTGCGAGCAGGGTCTCTCCAGAAGAGCGAAGAGAACGCGTGGGTTCATAGACGGAGATGCGGTCACGTTTTATTGCTATACTGCTGTTAAATTGTATATTTATGTTTTGGTATGGGCATAATGGGGTGCCGATTTGTTAGCCGTCCTGAGTCCCTCTTCGGAGGTTGAGAGAGGACAGGATATAAAAACCCTAAATAAATAAATAAGCATCTACATTGTATATTTAATATAAAAGTGGGGGTTATTTCTTTGAGGAAATATCTACATTGTATTTTTTTATATAACATGGGTTATTTCTTTGAGGAAATGTAGGTTATTTCTTTGAGGAAACATCTACATTGTCTCTTTTTATATAAAAATGGGGGTTATTTCTTTGAGGAAACATCTACATTGTCTCTTTTTATATAAAAGTGGGGGTTATTTCTTTGAGGAAATATCTACATTGTACTTTTATATAAAAGTGGGGATTGTTTCTTTGAGGAAGCTTAGGTTATTTCTTTGAGGAAACATCTACATTGTATTTTTATATAAAAGTGAGGGTTATTTCTTTGAAGAAATTTAGGTTATTTCTTTGAGGACACATCTACATTGTATTTTTATATAAAAGTGAGGGTTATTTCTTTGAGGAAACATCTACATTGTATTTTTTATATAAAAGTGAGGGTTATTTCTTTGAAGAAATTTAGGTTATTTCTTTGAGGACACATCTACATTGTAGAAAACTGCCATGGCTCAATGCTATGGGATCCTGGGGTTTTGTATTTCAGTGAGAAGGCAAAAGACCTTGTAAAACTAGTACTCACGACTCCATAGCAATTAAAGTGGCATCAAACTATTCGGTGATAGTATGGTAGCTGGTACTGAGGCCTCATGGTGCTACACTGTTTCCCCAATGGCGGTTTTGAATAAGGGACACATGTCCTACCACATGGTCACACAGGGGGCAGAGTGAGACACACTTTGGCTTAGAAGGTAGTGCGTTGTTGGCTTAGAAGGAAGGATAGAAAGGAAGGTGGGGCGGAATACAAGAAGTGTTGTAAGTTTGTGGGGAGCCTGGATGTGGGTTACCATATCCTCCCTTCAGTCTTATGTATTACCCAAATCCTTGTTTATCACTTCTCAATAAAGAACTATAATCCATTCATTGTTATCTGTGTGTTCACTGGTATACTTCCGCGGATTATGTAATGGATTCTGTCTCCCGCGTCCGCTATATTACTTCACTGCTATTCCGCCCCTACATTCTGCTAACAGCATTTCCGAAGCACTGCTCTGGAAACAGCGTAGCGCCATGAGGCCTCAGTACCAGCTATCATACTATCACCAACTATTCTACTATTTTATACTTTTAATTACACTTTAATTATTTAGATCTTTTTGATGTAAAAGTGCACTATGAGGTTTTGGTGTTTTTAATTATTCTTTGGTTGTTATGTATGTTTTTAAGTTTATATTGATGCTATTTATTTGCTGTTTGTAATCCATGACCAATGTGATGAATCATTGATTTACTGGGCTGCACTTTGATTGATTGTTATGACAGATAGCCAACCGGCAGGTTCCACTGCATTTTAGGAATTTTGTAATTTTCAAGTTTTTATAATTTTAGTAATGAGATTTGTATGTGTTGTCGATTTGTCATTTTATTTATACTTATGTATTGTTGCCTTCATGTGGCACTTGGAGTGCTTCAGTGAACCACCCCGAGTCCGTTTGGGGAGATGGTGGTGGGGTACATCAAGTAATATTATTATTTGATTTGTTGCTCACTTTGGCATTGAATGTTTGCTATTTTTCTTCTGGAAACTGCCCTTAGCCCCCTGGGGAGATAGGGCGGGTTAGGAATAAAGTATTGTTATTATCATTTTTATTATTACAGATTGTAGATTTATTTATTTATTGTCAAAAGCATTGCATAAGACTTCATATACAAGGGGAGGACACTGCTTTCTTTCATTCTGGCTTAATGTCCTTTGAAAACTATAAATATTTTGGGGAGAGGGGTGCTGTGTCCGACAACAAAACGATCACTCCATAGTATTGAGTCACTGCAGTTAAATTGGTGTCAAACTGCATTCATTCTGCAGTGTAGAGGCACCTTTAGTCTTCCAAGATGTCTCTTTTTCCCCCTTTACAACAAAAGACTAGATCAGCCGTCCCCCAAATTCCTTTTCTGCAAGATCAATCCCCTTGTGTGCCTATTCCAAAATAGAATGCATCGGTCTCAATTAGTCTTGCTTACTATTACTTGTAATATTACTAATAATATTACACTATAGTGGTATAGTACAATATAGTAATATATAATACTGATATTGTACTATGCTAATAATATAATATATTGTATGTATATATATCTTGTAAGCCGCTCTGAGTTCCCTTTGAGGTGAGAAGGGTGGCATATAAATGTTGTAAATAAATAAAATAGTCTTGATTTTCGGGATGTTTGTATTTATTTATTTATTTATTTACTGGTTTCCTCTACTCCAAGGGGGACTCAAAGGAGTTCACAACAAAGTAAATGGCAAAATTCAATGCCTCACAAAGTATAAAACACAGCACATAACTAAAATAGCATATAATAATACATTAAATTAAGTGAACTATAAAACATCAACCATAAACAACATAGCATAAAATATTGGACATTTCACCAATCCCGAAGTTATCTTGGCTGCTTCATCTCACTCTCCAAATGCTTGCTTTAAAAGCCACATTTTGAGTAATTTCCTGAACTTCAGGAGGGAGCGGTCAATCTGATCTCACTGAGGGAGGAGTTCTACAATTGAGGCACCACCACCGAGAAGGCCTTGTCTCATCCCCACCAGTCTTTACCTGCAAGGGTGGTGGGACCGAGAGCAGGGCTTCCTCAGCCAATCTCAGTCCTCTAACTGGCTCTTAAAGAGAGATGCATTGCGATACATAAGCTGAGCCAGAACCGTTTTGGGATTTATAGGTTGAAGCCAGCCCTTTGAATTGCACTTGGTAGAAAACTGGCAGCCAGTGGAGCTGATTCAACAGAGGAGTTGTATGCTTCCTGTGAGTTGTTCCAGTTAGAAACCTGGCTGCTGCCCGTTGGACTACTTGAAGTTTCCAAGCAGACTTCAGAAGCAACCCCACGTAGAGTGCATTACAGTAATCTCTGAGATGTAACAAGAGTGTGGACCACCGTAGCCAAGTCTGACTTCCCAAGGTACGGGTGCAGCTGGCACACAAGTTTTAATTGTGCAAATGGTCCCCTGGCCACCACTGAAACCTGATGTTCCAGGCTCAGCAATGAGTGCAGGGGAACTTCTAAGTTGCTAACACATGGTG